CTGCGCGACCCGCGCCTCACGGCGGCGCCGGGCGCCGGCCACCGCTTCCAGCCGCGCCGCCGCGGCCCGCACACCTGGTGCGACCTGTGCGGGGACTTCATCTGGGGCGCGCGCAGGAAGAGCCTCCAGTGCCTGCGTGAGTAGCCCCGCGCGCCAGGACGAAGCCCTGCGCAGCCCCCGGGACCCGTCGCGCCACCCTCCTGCCAAGGGAGCGCGGGGACCCTCGGGGGGACCCGCTTGCGGCGCGCGGATCCCATCTGCTTCCCCACCCCGGGCTGCTGCTGGCAGCAGCGGCACCGCTGACACCGTCCCCRTGCTGTCGCTGTCCCCAGACTGCAGCTTCACCTGCCACTACCGGTGCCGGGCCCTGGTGCGGCTGGACTGCAGCGGCCCCCGGGGCGCCGGCGGCGAGGCCGACGATGCCGCCGAGCAGGAGGTGGAGGACACCAACGTGGTACGGGCCGGGGGACGGGGCGGGGGACGGGGCACAGGGCTGGCACACGGGGTGGGGATGGGGACACGGGGAGCGGGCAGGGGGTACCCTGAGCTGGGACGGGCCATGCTTGAGTTTTACTGTGCTGGGAACCACACTGCGCTGCGCCGGGCCACATCAGGCTGTGCTGGGCCACGTTAGGCTGTGCCGGGCCACGTTAGGCTGTGCCAGGACAGGCCAGTCCATGCCAGGCCATACAGGGCCATGCCGTGCTGTGCAGTGCCAAACTGTGCCATGTTGGGCCGTGCTGCGCTGTGCCATGCGGGCCATGCTGGGCTACGTGGGGCTGTGCCGAGTTGGACCAGGCTGGGCAGTGCCGTGCTGGGCTGTGCTGGGCCAGGCTGGGCTGTTTGGGGCAGAAGTGCCCTGCTGGGACAGGCCACACTATGGCAGGTTGGGCTGTGCGTGCTGTATGTGCAATATGTGCTGTATATGCTGGGCTGTATGTGCTGGACTGTATGTACTATATGCGCTGGACTGTGTGTGCTGTATGTGCTATATGTGCTGGGCTGTGTGTGCTGGGCTGTGTGTGTTGTGTGTGCTCTATGTACTGGGCTGTATGTGCTGCATGTGCTGTATGTCCAGGGCTGTATGTGCTGGGCTGTGTGTGCTATATGTGCTGGGCTGTGTGTGCTGGGCT